ACTGAAAACTTTTCATGCATCCTGACACTGAGTGATATTAAAATTCACAGAAGTTTGGGGCTGGAAGGGACCTCGTGAGATCATGGGGTCCAGCCCCCCTGCTCTGGGCAGGAAAGACTGCGGGGGTCAAATAACCTCAGCAAGGTGTGCATCCAGTCTCCTTTTGAAGCTCTCCAGGGTAGGCGCCTGCACCACCCCGCTGGGGGTCTATTCCAGAGTCTGGTCACACGAACAGTGAAGAAGTTTTTCCTTATAAGACAAAATGGTAAGATCTCTGGGGTAGGGATCCTGGTTTATGACCGTGACTCCTAGGCACTAGTATGACTTAAAAAATAATAATAAAACAGCAGAAATCTCCAAAAAAGAACCGTGCATATGTAAATCCCCTGGAATCCCTTGGTATGAGCAGGGTATAAGCAGTGCATAAGCCTGAAGCCAGTCTCTTGGACAGAGGTAACATTTCCCCAATCAATGAATGTTTTTACTGGGTCGCCCGTCACGTTGTGCTGTCCTCGGAGCCAGAGTCTTACTGCCTTCACAGCTTTTGTCCGCCCCGGTTGAACTCCAGAGTAAATGTGCAGTGCAAACAAGTTGCCGACAGCAATAATGGCCAGGCCTTTGCAGCTGGCATTAGGCAAACACGATCCACCCTAGACTGTGAACAGGCTTTATGTAACAGCTAGTACGCTGTTCTTGTGCCTGTCCTCACAGACTTCCCCACTGTGCGCATCTACACGTGCAGTTAGCACATAGCAATAAACTCCAGCGCAGTTCGTACTGTAGTTTATTGCTCTCGGGCACAGTGTTTGCACATGCGCCCAGGACCACAGCACATTACGCCGGGGTGGTGCAGCCCCAGCTGGCAGGGAGACCAGGGGGTCAGCCTGCCAGCCTGGGGCTGCTCTGATGCGAGCCCTGGCTCAACCCAGCTGCCGAGAGGCTGGCTGGGGCACGAGTATGCTAGCCAGCCGGCACCCCACATGCTGTAGCACCCTCGTGCCCCCGTCACCCCTGATCGCTGCATGTGTTGCAATGAAGTAAATAACTCCACCATAGGATAATGCTTGTGTCGGGCAGTATTATCCTGCATTGGAGTGAATTAGTTTACTGCAGCCTAATAGCACCACATGTGTAGACAGTGATGCTTTACTGTGGAGCTAATTAGTCAACTCCACAGTAAAACACACATGTAGATGCCCCCACTGAAGGCCAGATCCAGGCAGGCCCAGTGCAACCCTGAGCTTCTAGTTACTCTGGTGCAGTGCTTCTCAACCTTTTCTGACTCGAGGCACCCCTTCATAGGCTCAATGCACCATTTGGAAAATGCCATTTTTTAGTCTTCACTTGTTTTTTGTTTGTTTTTTTAATACAGAAAAATAATCAAGCAAAGAACTCAGGAAGACCACAAGAGCCCATGATGTTTTTTAACACTACCTATTTCTGTTTGAAATCTCTGGGTTTGTTGTGTGAATCATGTTTGCACATCTAACCGTGCTAACATTGCGTGGCCCTCCGGGGCACTCTTGAAAGCATCTCAAGGCAACCCAGGGTGCCACGGCTGCCTGGCTGAGAATCGCTGGCCATACAGCCAGCTGTAGCATGAATTACACCCACAGTGCGCGATTTAGCCTTGTTCAGTACAAAAGTGAAAAGCAGAGCTGGTCTCGCATCGAACAACCGAAGGCAGGAGGGAATGTGATGTTTGCATGTTGTTGCTGCTGTGGGTGTGGGGATGGGACGGTGGTTGTGTCCCTACCCACACACGAACTACAAAACCCGGTTCTCTCTCTCTGACCATAACCTGGCTGGACTCTGATTAGCTTGTATGGCGAGGAGAGAGACTGAGAGTGACCGGGACAGCAGACGATCCCTGGTATGGCCCTTGATGCAAAGATGTTCCCTCTCCATTCCCTAACCCGGGCCATTTCCTGTTGGTCCTTGGGTGGTTGGGTGCCACATCGTGGCACTGTAACTTTGCCACCTCCCCGTCTCTTCTTCTGCTGCATCTTCCTCTTCTCTCCAAGGGCACCAAGGAAGGAAGGATTTGGCCTGCCTGTTTGTGTCTTGGCTCATCTCAGGCCCAATTCCCCTCTCACACACACAGGTGTGAATCAAAAGCAACACGCTGAAGCTAAGGGAGTAGTAGGATTGAGATAACATCTCCATGAGAGGCCCACTACAGCTTGGAGAATAGGACATAGTGGGGGAGTTAGTCATCCCTTGTATGGGAGAGCCTAGGATGGGGATCCCAATCCTTCCTGAACTACTGGACCAGTGGCAACGCTCAACATTTCTCATAGATTTTTACACTAGGAGCTGGGGGGGCCTTGTGAATCATGCCTGCACCCCTAAGACAGCTAACATCGTGCGGCACCCTTGAAAGGCTCTCAAGGCCCCCTGGATGCTACAAGGCCCTGGCTGAGAATCACGGAGCAGGAGGTTCAGACCTGGGACTCTGGAGCCGTAGAAATTATTCAAAGAAAGACAAAGTCCAAAGGCTCAAGCTTTGCAGCCCCTTTCTATTTAAACTTGTGCTGTGTAAACACACAACACACCCAGTGGTGTGAACCAGCTGTATTATCTCGTGAGCAAACAAGGCCACTATTAGCTCTAATTTATTTCTTGGCAGCAGACTGGGACGTAAGTACACAACCCACTCGATGATGCTTTCAAGGTCACCAGAATAATACATGTGTTGAGAGGCGATATATGCATCTCGGGGTTGGAAAATCTCTGCCCGAGGCATGCATGTTGAAACCAAGGCAAGCAGGGGAGGGGGTTTGTTCCTGCCCGGTGCTGAGCACCATTTGCAGAGTGCCGAGTGCTCACACCACTCCTTGAAGTCATTGCAAGTGGAGATGTTCAGCTCCTGACGAGAGAAGGCTCTCGAGGCACGTCTATGCAGTCTCCCTCCTGACTTTGTGACTGTGGGCAGCAAGATAAGACTCACCCATTCATTCGCATTGGACTCAGCAGAGACCAGCAACTGGCAGAGCAGAGGCTCAGAGTGGTCCTGAGCGTGTGTCCTAGTACTGTGCTTAGGCTCTCCCTGCTCCCCAGCTGCCTGCTCTGCCTGGATGCTGGTCTCTGGTCAACCTGAGGGGCAGGGCAAGGTGCCAGAAGCAGCAGAGAAGCCATGAAAGCCTGGTCCAAACATCCCAGGCAGCATTTGGTGGGGCGATGCAGAGTTCAGTGTGTGCTGGATCAGGCCCTTATATGGATCTCATGCCTTCTGAAGCTAATTTGTTCCTTTTAGTTGCATCAGCATGACCCTGATGATCCTCAGCAGGCTACACCACTGTAAAAATGGGCAAAATGGTCTCTCTACAAACTAACCTCCGCACCATCCATCAGGGAATTGATATGATCCCCCTCATTATAGGGGTAAGCACGTCCATGCTGGTGGAAAGTAGGTGACTTGACCAAAGTCACTAGGGTTTTTGACCCCTCAGCTCCCTCTTGGTTCTACACTGATAGATGGATCTGGGGTCAGAGTCTGATTTCCACATCCCAGGCATGAGAGTGCAGCAATTCCAATGCGCTCAAAGGTTTTCCTTGGGATTTCCATCAGTGTAAGAGAAAATGTGGCCCAAGATCAGTCAATCAGCCCAATGATTTGGGGTAATACACTAGGATTTGCACAAATCCAGAGTCATACGCAAAGGGTAAGTACGCAGCCAGCATGCTGGGTTGTCGGGCAGCAAACCTGAGCTTGCCTCCTTGCTGTCGATGCCACTTAGGTGCACCCAGAAGAGTGCACCTGACTCCTGAAGTTTTATTCTCCCAGCTCAGTCAAGGTGCACATTCAAGAGAAGGGCAGAGAAAGTGCTTCAAGGAGGTCCTCAAGGCCAGCTTGAAAAATGCAACGTCAACATCAACTCATGGGAGACTATTGCCCAGGACTGCCCCAAATGGAGGAAGAGTCTGTTGCAAGGATCTCACTACTTTGAAACAACAACAGGAGACAGAAAAGCAGGAGTTGCAAAAACCAAGAACCCAGAGCCACCCACCGTGCAGGGAAACAAGTGCCCGAGCTGCAACAGAGTTTGTCGATCCTGGAGAGGCCTCGTCAGCCACCTTCAGACCCACAGATAAGACAATCATGGAAGACAACCATCCTCAACTGCAAGGGATTGCCAATGATGATGAGAGGCAGTAGGCGTTGATAGAAGGGTATGGACTGGAGACCAGGATGCACATGGCACCATCTGAGATAGCTTCATCCTCTAGTAGAAGCAATAACTTGCCAACATCCACGCTGACCGTTCAATAGAGAGAGCTGTGACACACATTAACATAGGCCACATGTGCTGAACTTCCAGAGGGTCTTTCAGGAGCAGGTGGTAATGCATCCCTATAATGGCGTGCAAGCGTTTGCATCAAGCAATGACAGGTGCACACGTGCATGTGGCATGTGCACACGTGGCAGCTGAAAGCAGTGATATTTATCTGCTTCTGGCCTGTTGGGTGGGGAAGCTCAGGAGCATTTCTACACAGATTTCGGGATGGTGGATGGAAGGGGCTGGATAAGTGCTGGGGTTGCAGTTACAAGTCACAGGGCGAAGGCGTGATTTCAGGCCCCGTAAACCTGTCATATATGCATATCTGCGCAACCCAATCAGACTAGTTTGGCAGGGTGGCACTCCCAGGCATGTCAGGCCAGGACAAGGCAGGGCACATCTCTCTGAGGCCCCGGTAACCATTGCTCTGAAAAAGCAGTGCAGGAGCAGGGTTAGGACAAGTCATGGAAAAATGGGTTTGAGTCTGGTGTCTTGACATCAGTGACCTTGTACTCCTTCACTTGGCGTAGCATGGTTGCTGTAGAGTTGCATGGGCATAGCTGATCCCCTAGCTACTAACTAACCCCCAAACATTCAGGCCGTGACTTTCCTTCTCTCTGTTTTACACTGGCATAAAACCACTGCCTTCCACTTTCCTGACTTGGACTCACATGAGACCAGTCTAGAACGCCATGTCTCTTTCCTAGTGTTGGCACATACCTTGCATGTCCGTCAGGAGCTCTTCTGTGAGCTTTCCCACCTCAGCTACTGCGGGCCAGGGCAGGCCTTTTTCTGCAGCGAACACCAGGCTGTCGTGAAGAACATCCAGCTCAATGCTCCGCCGGAGATCCCGCGCCTCATCAAACACTTCCCAGCCCAGCAGCAATCTCAGATGCCGGCGCCCCTTTTCTCTCTGGTGTTAAGACATGAAAGATGGGCCATGTTAGCATTGCAGGAGGCAAGAGAGCTCCCTTGACGTCGATGCAATGCAAGGCCAATAAGGGTATCAATGTGCAAGATCCTTGGGCCAGATTCTGGTCTCACTCTTGTTGGACCTGGCACAGTTGAGTCACGTGGCTTCTGATTTATCCTGGGAGAGAAGAATCAGGCCCTTGGACCTTCCTTTGGGGTCTGTCTCACCCAGTATCAAGCTTGGGGCCTGGACCTGATGCTCTCGCAAGGTCCCTTCCGGCCCCAACGTCTATGAAATCTATGAAAATGTCTACGGGATGCTGCTTCATAGGTGAGCAAATGCCTGGACTAGAAGAGAGACTGTGGCTTTGTTCCTACTTGGAGGTGGACCATGATCCACCCTCAGGCCCTTCGCTTGGCCTACCCAGATCTCTTGGTCTGGTGCAGACTGCAGTCCCTGCCCCAAGGATACTTGGTCCTTGCCATGAAGGATGTTGCATAGGGCTGAGGGCAGGTGGGTCCTTGGGGAATGATAGTTCAGGCACCCGATGGGTTCATTTTGGGTTGGATTCAGCTTCCACACTGCTCCTTGCTCAGCACTGCACTCAAAGGTCCTGAATATCAATGGGCTGGATAATTGCCCTCACCCCATCATTTAAGGAGACCTCTATCACCCTCAGAAGAGGTGATGAGAGGCAGGGTCCTTAAGTAATCCCAGAGAGGGCAATGGTCTACTAGGGAGGTAACCCCTGCAGCCCAAAAGCTGGTTTCCCTCAGCATAACATGCGTGGCTTCTTGCAATTAGGCAGATCTTTGCAGTCATCCTCTTGGAGGATCTGCCTCAGCTCCATTAGAGTGAAGTCCACGAGCCCTGATCAGAGTATTGAGCCATTGGTGGGTAAGGGGGGCAGGATCTGACTGCTCCCTCTGGTTTCTCCTCAGCCCTACCTCCTGCCAATGGCTGTTAGATGGGGGATTGTGCACGCAGTGGTTGTCAACCAATTTCTCAAGGTTGAAATGCACCATTTCATTGTTCCACGTGGAAACTTTTCACTCCTTTTCTTGCCTGCTCAGATCTGGGGTCTTGGGAGGAACAAATGGTGGGTACTCAATAGAGATGGAGTCAGGTCTGACCAAGACATGAGTGGTCAGCTAGGGGTCCTGGTTTTCTCTGATTAAAAAAAAAACAAACCCAATTTTCAGGTTAAAAAAAGTAACCCCAAATCCACATTTTTCCATGATCAAAATGAAACACCACTATATCTATCTATCGATCTATCTATCCATCTATCTATCCCATTGCTCCTTGTCCTGTCATCTGCCCCCACTGAGAACAGCCCAGCTCCATCCTCTTTGCAGCCCCCCTGCAGGGACTTGAAGGCTGCTATTCAATCTAGATATCTAGCTAGATCAATAGATCGATAGATAGATATATCTATATATATATAGTGAGAGAGACAGATATCTATATATAGGTATAGATAGATAGATATAGTGGTGTTTCATTTTATATATGTCAGATGCTATCCATATATATATGTCAGATGCTTTCAATGCACCGTTGCTGCTAGGATCTTCCTTGTGAGAAATGTATACAATGAAGGGCCAAGTATCTTCAACCATTGCCTACAATAATTCCCGAAGTTTATGCTTTTACCCCTGTGCTAGATGGAAACAAAAGTGCTTCTTTCACTGAAAACTATGCTCATGTGGCTTAGCCTCCACTTACCGTAGAGTAAGAGCTGGCATCAGGCAGTTACTGTGGAACAGTTCAGGCCCTGCTTCCTTCTACCCACATGCCCACTATTCATCTATATGTATGTATTAGTGGTGCTTCATTTTAATAATGGAAAAAGGTGAATTTTGGGTTTTTGAACTCAAAAATTGAGTTGTTTGTTTGTTTGTTTTTTTATCAGAGAAGACCAGGATCCCTGGTGGTCAGGCCTAGTGGTTCACACTAAGCCCAGAGTCGGGGTTGGGTTACCAACATACAAGCAGTTAAGGTCAAAGCCAGGTATCAGCCCAGTTTCCAGGGTGTCAAGTTGAGAGTCAAGACAAGGTCCTGGCCAGGACAAGCAACTGATGAAGACCAGGAGGTCCAAGATGGGAACCCTGATGGAGGGCAGGCAGCGTGAGAGGCATGGCACGCTGTTTTAGGAGCTGGGAACCTATACCATGAGTCTGGGGCTGGTAGCCACTGAGCGGTAGGGCAGCAATACACACCCTGTGTGCAGGGGGTTCTTTGGTGCTTACCCTGGTATTGTATAAGGCAATCAGCAGGCTAAATGCAACCCATCTTTACCTGAAGCTGGACCACTGCCCTCACCCCGTCTGCTGACAAGCCGGCCATCCTCCTGAGAACAGGGAACCGTGGCCCGGGCGTTGTGTGGTCACAGACGGGCGACGTTCCATGGGCGCCCGCGTTCCAGGACCCTCCCGCCCATCACCCACTCCCTCGGCGCTGGGGCTGTGCAAGGCGTCGGACAGAGCTTCCGAGCCGGAGAAGCTTCGGACGCTTCAGGGTCCGAAGCAGCATGTCCGGGTTGAAGCTCTGGCCTCGTTAGGCTTCTCGCAGCACTTCGGAGCCGCCTCCGAGATCCAGCTATGTAATGGGGAAACAATAAAATATCTCTAACTTTGTTGTTTTTTAGTCCAATTTGGATGAAATTTTCAGGCGTGGTAGGCTCTGCAGAGAGGACGAAGCCTGCCAAGTTTCAAGAAGATGGGTGCAGGGGTATGGGGGGAACAGCACCCCAAATTCTTGAAAGCAAAACTCCTGTCACATCTATGTATTACAACACAGGGAGTTCAAAACTGCAGGGGGGGGGGTGGCTCTTACTGAGGCCACAAAGCCTGCCAAGTTTCAAGAAGTTCGGTGCAGGGGTTTGCGGGGAATTGTCCCTCAAGCTGTGGACAAGCAAAACTGGTGCCATGGGTGCTGTGGGACTGCCTCTTGGGGCGGGAGGGGAGACACTGCTGCAGGCCTGGCTGCGAAGCTGCCGTGTTCCCAGTTACCGATCAATCCATCATGATTCACTCAGGGACCAGGGACTCGGGACCAGCTCAATACACAGGACCTAGCTACTACATAACGACTTAAGGAGCATCAATTGGCACCTACAAAACCAGGCTAAGGAGAGGAAAGACTCAATGCAGACAATCAACTGCCCCAAGGCAGAGACAGTCTTGGCACGAGTTTTGTCCGTCAGCAGCTCGGGGTGCAGGGCCCCAGACCCCCCTGCACCCATCTCCTCCACAGCTGGCAGGCATCACAGCAGAGGCCACCATCCCTGCCACTGTCACCTCGCTGCCCCTTAGCACATGCAGGGTCACCCATGGCACCAGTTTTCCTTGTCTGCAGCTTGGGGTGCACTTCCCCCCAAACCCCTGCACCCATCCCCTTGACACTTGGAAGGCTTTGTGGCCTCATCAGGGGCTAGCATGCCTGCAGTTTTCACCCCCCTAGTTTGGCTTTCAAGAATTTGGGGTACAGTTCCCCTCAAACTCCTGCACTGATCTTCTTGAAACTTGGCAGGTTTCATGCTCTCAGCAAAGGCTACCATCCCTGCAAGTTTCATCCAAATCAGAAAAAACAACTAAGTTATAGATAGTTCATTGATTCCCCATTATACCCTATGGCCGGATTTCCAAGGCGGCTCCGAAGCTTCGGCCGGATCAAGGCGGAAACCCAGTCTGGAGCTCTGGATCGGATCGCGGCCATCCAAAGTGGCCGGATCGGATCGCTGCCGACTCGCACAAGCCTACTTGACATGTGCCCACCTTGCTGTTCAATGCCCTGAGCAAAGGGCATTGCCAAGGGCACGTCCTAAGAGATTTCCCTGCCTCTTCATCCCTGTCTTCAGTCCCGCTGAGGTCAGGAGTAAAACCCTGGCTTCACTGTGAACAGGCAGGGGTCTTCTTCCACCCATATTTTCCTCCCTGTAACCCTGTTCCAGTCTGGGACACTTGGTGAATGGACATATGAATAATGGGCATGCAGGTAAAAGGAGGCAGGGCCTGAGCTGTGCCATATGCCTGATGTCTATTCTTACCCCATGGGAAGGGGAGGCTAAGCCACCTGCGCATAGCCTGCAGCGAAAGAAGCACTTTTTCCTCCATCTAGTATGGAGGTAAAAGCAAACCCAAGGGTAAAAAAGGGTAACCCCAAATCCACATGTTTCTGTGATTTAAATGAAACTCCACTAACCTATAGAGAGAGATATATAGCGGTGTTTCATTTTAATCATGGAAAAAATGTGAGTTTGGGGTTGCTTATTTTTAATCGGAGAGTGGAGATTTTTTTTTTTTTTAAATCAGAGAAAATCAGGATCCCTGGCAACGGTTGAGGATACTTGGCCCTTAGTCACAGGTGTATAATTTTCTCGCCAGGAAGATCCTAGCAGCAAAGGAGCATTGAAAGCAGCTGCTGTGACTTTTGTGAAGTGTAAGGAGAGCTGTGATTCGGATGGCACGTTCACCAGCCTCACGGGTGCTAGATACCGGATACGAGCAGTTGGCCGTAGCAACAGGCTGCTGTGATGCTTGCCAGCTGGCGTGCGTGGGGGAGATCTCGCCACACCTGAGAGACAGGTGGATGGTTCCTCACAACACAAGGGTCTTGCACGCTGGATTTTCACCCCCCGCCTGCCCCATCCTATGCACGTGGCGTAGGGAAGGATCAAAGTCGGGGTATCATCTGTGCATCCTACCAGTGCTTGTGCAGTTATAGCTGCATTCACTTTTCCATAAAGCCCTGCAAACTTCTTTTCAAAATCACGTGTCTCGGCAGCTCTGAACCATGTGCTGTCTCATAAAAACAGCACCACTGTGTGGCAGCAAGGAAATGCTGTTGCTGCTTGCAGATCTCCCTCTCTAGTAGGTAGATGATCCCTGATAGGAGGAATCTAGGTGGAAATGGGGATTTAATGCTCATGGTTGAGCAGGAGCTGTACTCCTGCTGTTGTAGATCACGGTGACAATGAATAATGCTTACTACAGCCGTGTCTACTGGACCCCACACGCGGTCCCACGGTCAGGGAAAAAGGAGATGCAAGCTGAGTCCCGGTGTGTGCACCGTTCGGGCCTCGGAGGGTGGCCAGGAAACAGGCTGGCCCAGGCTGGGTCCCATTTTATGTTGCACCCTGCACTGATTCCTTGTGATGTTTGCCTGCCTTTTAGGAGGCACCGAGGAAGGGCTTTCTGCCTCGCACTGCCCCAGACCTGGAGCCTCGCACTGTCAGACCTGGAGCCGTAGAAAGCAATACGTGAAGGGCTCGGGCTTGCACGCTCTGCTCCGAGACTGCATCCCAGCACCCAATTTCGATACCTCTCAGTGCTCTGCCAGTGAGGCAAACCCCCACGAGGGGCTGAGGCCTGAGAAGAAGAGGATTCAGGCTGGTTGTGCATTGGTCATGAAAGACGGAGATCCTAATCTCCGAGGCTGACCGGAGCCCCGCTGCCCGGCAGGTTGCTTCGGCATATGCGGTGGTAACGCTCTTAGTGAGACAGGCTTGTTAAGGTACAGAGGGGCCAGTTTCCCTCGGAGATGAGATAAGCTCAAAGCAGTTTGGGCAGGCAGAGGTTTGTTTCTTGGCTCACCCGAGAGGGTATTTGATGGCCCCAGCGAGTCCTCCGGCTGCGGGAAATGAGAGAGGGGCCCAGGCCAGGCTCTGAGCGAGACACAAGTGTCAGAAGATGGTGAGGATTGCGCAGCGGGCTCTTATCATTTCTGCACCAGAGCAAACCAAGACCCCCCCCCCGCACGCACCGGCGTCTACAGACATTAAGACTGGAGTGTTTTGAAATGCAGACCTCGATCTCAGCCTTGTGGTTTGAGCCCTCCTGTTAACTAACTGGGGAGTCTACTTTGATGGCTGTCAGCTGATATGAGCGGACAGCGCCATCTCCGATGGCCCTGACTGTGCAAAACCACTTCGGTGCTATAAAAAGCTACTCCTGTGATTTCTTTGTGATAACCTCTGTTTTGTGCGCTCCGTGCCCCTTCCGCAGTTCACCTGCAAGCTGCCCGCTGCTCCAGCTCTTGCTTGAATTATACACTGACCATCCCTTGCAAGGCGGTGGGCCAAATACTACTCTCACTGGCACCAGTCTGACTGCAGGGCCAGTTTGTGAAAGTCCTGTAGTCAGTCAAGTTAATCCAGATTCACCCTAGTATGTCTGAGAGCAGCTTTTAGCCCGGGTATATACATCAGTGCAGTTATGCATCCAAAACTCAGGGCAAGATTCTGTTCTCTGAGTATTTTTAGGGGCTTGTACTTTCATAGAGTCATAGAAAATGAGGGTGGAAGGGACCTCAGGAGGTCACATCTAGTCCAACCCCCTGCTCCAAGCAGGACCATCCCCAGCTACATCATCCCAGACAAGGCTTTGTCTAGCTGGGTCCTCAAAACCTCCAAGGATGGAGACTTCGCAACTTCTCCAGGTAACTTGTTCCAGTGCTTTCACAGATTTCCTAGACATTAGGGCTGGAAGGGACCTCGCGAGGTTATCAGGTCCAGCCCCCTGCCCAAGGGGCAGGAAGTCAGCTGGGGTCAGATCACCCCAGCAAAATCGGCATCCAAGTGTTTCTTAAAGGTATCCAGAGTAGGTGCTTGCACCATTTCTGTGGGGAGTTTATTCCAGACTCTGGAGACTCGAATGGTAAAGAAGTTTTTCCTTATGTCCAGTCTAAAACCATTAGACTTCATCATCCCTTGGGGTGCTCTGGTGAACAGATATTCTCCCAGTTCCTGGTGTTATAGGCTGCCACCAGGTCCCCCCTGAGCCTGCGCTTCTCCAGGCTGAAGAGTCCCAGGGCTCTCAGCCTGTCTTCATAAGGCCTGTTCTCCTGCCCTCCGATCATGCACGTGGCTCTCCTCTGGACTCACTCAAGCTTCTCCACGTCCTTTCTAAAGTGCAGAGCCCAGAATTGGATGCACTACTCCAGCTGTGGCCTTACCAAGGCCAAGTAAAGTGGGAGGATGAGTTATTGGATTTTGCTTGAGATGCATCGGTAGACGCAAGCCAGATTTTTATTTGCTTTGCCAGTTTTTGCGGTTTTACTACTCTCCTTGTGAGACAGTTGTTTTCTGATATCTTACCTCAACCTCCCTTGCTGCAGCTTGAGCCCATTGCTCCTTGTCCTGTCATCTGCCCCCACTGAGAACAGCCCAGCTCCATCCTCTTTGCAACCCCCCCTGCAGGGAGGTGAAGGCTGCTATTCAATTCCCTCTGTCTTCTCTTCTCCAAACTTTCATAAAAACAAACCAAAAAAAAGGTCTTACAAGTGACCCCTACAATAGCACAGCAGACTGAGTGCACGCATGATGAAAAGCAAAGCTTTGCGTATTG